GACGGACCGGGTCCGTAGGGAACCCTACCGGGATTGTGGTCTCCCATACCGGACGGGGTAGGGAGATCTTATGTGTTTGGCGCCCATACCGGACGGGGTATGGGGACGGCCCGTTTCACCCTCATACTGGACGGGGTAATGAGGTCTATAGTTTTGGCGCCCATACCGGACGGGGTATGGGGACGGCCCTGGAAAAATGATTTCAAGTGTTAAGGGTTAACGGGTAGCGAGATCCCTATGGATCCCCATGGATACTAGTGGGCTCGTAAATGAGGAAAATATGTTGTGTAACGATTGAATTACGAAAGGCTTGATAAGTATTATGTTATATAGTTTATATATGATTTCATGATGATGATGATGTTATTGCTTTCGTACACTGTTTTATGGATTCTATCGAGGTAAGTGAATGGTAAAGGTTTTATTATTGATAAAAGGATTTGTTGTAAATTATGCTCCATTGGTCTTTTTGTGTTTTCTACCCACCTTTACCTCCGTGACGGTGAGATATCGTGATGTCTTTACTAGGCTAGTGTAGCTCATTCCTTATTTAATCATTTCAGATCAAGAGGACATCGTTCCCGAGCCGGTTCCGCAGGAGGACGACGAAGGGGACGCCTAAAGACTCCGTAGTCATATTCGTAGCTTTTATTTTCAAGTTTCTCCTTTAGGTAGTTTGATCTTTTATATTTTGTGAGCACGTTTTTGGTTTTAGTGTAAGGGATGTTAATCGAATTTTTGACTTCGCTTCCGCATTTGATATTTTTAATATACATTTCATTTTAAATTTCCGAGGCCGTTACAACCTGAGATCCCAAATACTCCTAGTCTGCAAGTAACAACGCACCACTTCGAATTTCCCAAACTACCTGAGATCCCAAATACTCCTAGTCTGTAAGTAACAACGCACCACTTGACTCCCTTCTTTCTGAAGGCACTCCAGAAGAGTCGGAACTGCAAAAGTGAAAGGTTTATGTGTTTGTACAGGCCAATCTTGGTTGACAAATAACCCATTGCAAACTACATTTCAGGTGCTTAAGATAAAATTAAAGCTTGATTGACAACATCAGTTTATTCTACATCACCACTCAACTCTAATCCACTTATAATAGATGCTACGAGGAATAAGCTAAGAATTCAATTCTTGTTCATGTCCATCCAGAAACTGCAGTTTGCAAATAAGTTACTACACAAACAATAAAACAGGAATAGCAGCAGCTCGGGTTTTGGAAAACGAACCCACATCATTTGTAAATAGGCTTACAAACGAAACTATTCTCTGTCTAAGCAGCCCGAAATGTTCATGGTGCAAAACCCTGCAAAAATGGAACAATAAAGATAAATTTAAAAAAAAAAATCTTATGGATAGGCCACGAACCCAATAACAAAAATCTCAAAGTATGAAAAACATAAGGAAGTATCTCAAGACTAATTCCAGGAAGATTCCAACCTAGCAATATTTTCAGAATTTGTCACTTCAAATATGATTGTCAAATTGGCAAACCATATCCTTTTCATACACGAAACACATTGATAATTATCTAACAGGGTAAACCCCAGCAACTAGTTCACCATGACAACATGCCAGCTCAAAAATTTCAATACACTTAACCATAACTAATACCAAAACTAGAAAAGGGATGTTCAGTAACTTCTTTGATAAAGCTATAAGCAACTTACTTTGGGAAAACCTATAAATAAAATAGTAATCCTAAGATCTTGAAGATTTCACTCTCCTCATCAGAACTTTAATCTAAATCTCTAATTCGGAGTTGATCTAAGTATCAGGCTACTGATCTCTAGAGAGCACAACTGTGTGATCAAAGAAACTTAAGACCGGTTCAAGTGAGTATCCCAGGCAAATTTTCAATAAGGTTTATGCAAGAAAAGCTATAATATAGCCCTCGTTCTGAGCCACAGATCCGCAATTGTAAGTAACTACAATTAAAATATAAATAAAATTAATTTGGAAAAACAAATATCTAGAACATCTTGTAATAAACATTGCTTATCAAATCATTTATCTTGCAGCTGAGATCCCATCCCAAGAAGCAGCAGTATCATGCCGGTTCCTATTTCTAGCTGTAGAGAGATAAAAGAGATAAGAGGATATGGTTATCCTCTTTCAAAATTATTTAAACTTGTATCTATCATTAGTTAGTTCTATCACTTATCTTTTTTTTACCTGTATATATATGTGTATAATTATTCAAAATAAATCATCAAGATATTATTCAATTCTCATCCTGTTACACTAGCATCTAGCACATATTTTTGCCGCAAAAATGAGAAAAACTTTAGTATTTTTTTTTTCATGTTAATGAAAGATCTATATCCAACCACCAAAAGTTGCCACATTTGATTCTTGCAAGGTGGTGTTAGACTTTGCACAAACCCTTTATAAAGCGTAGTTGGGCAACTGCACTCATAGGTTCACAAAAATGATATACGTGAAAAAAAAAATCCCTAAAAGCAAAAGTTTGTGCCTTTAACTGTAATCTTCCTCAAGCAAGCTTTGCTTGAGATAACTAGCTTATGATTCATGAAAACAATTGTGATTCCTTAACCCATTTTTAAAATAAAAATAATAAGTGTTTCGTGAAACAATTGTGATTTCAGAAAATTCAACATTTCTTATTCCTTTAATCAGTTACATGAATTCATTTTGTATTCCTTCCATCAGTTATATGATTTTTTAAATCTCAATGTTGACTTTGTCTATCATGACAAAGTGAGAATGCCCTGCAGCTTTAATCATAAGTTTGAAACACAACACTAATACATTTGTTAAATCACAACAAATCAGCGAACCTCAGTCCAGATTGTATCCTAACAAGTTGTTTAACTAGTAAAACTTTCATTGCAAAACGCAATCTTAGAATTAAACCCAAGTTTTTTTATTTATAACACTAAAAACATATAGCAAACTAGCTTTAAAGGACAATAGTAGATGAATATTCTAAGCATGGAAAATGACACCTCATGTGATGCAGAACAAGTAGCACCAGTACTAACTTCTTTCAACTATCATTTAGAAATAGAAAGTGAGAAACGGAAGAATAAGAGTAGGAAAAAGAAAATTAGGGACCAAAGTGAAGATTATATGAGGAGAAGTAAACCGAACCATTATACGAACATAATAGAGAAATAGCGAGAAATAATTCCTGACAAAAGGAATTCTGAATTCATCATTGTTTATTCTCTATATCCACAGTTATTGGGTTTTACATAGGCATTATTTATAACTAATAAGGAGACTATTAAAATAACTAAAGAGGAATTAGAAGCTTCTATAACTTAAAATCTACCCTAGTTTCTAATAACTTAAACTCATTTTAAGCAGGCTAAATAAATTAAAGAAACTTAATAATAATTACATTGATTTTTCTTAATACAAATTATTTCAGTTCAGGATTCTCTTGTCCTACATCATCACAACTAACTAAATCCAAGCCCCTGAACATTCAATAGCTGAAAAGAGGTTACAAGAGAACGCAAGAGTAGCTGAGGAGAGTAGAGAGGTTTGAGCAAACAAACTTTGCCAGTTTAGTAATTCTTCCAAGGGAAGTAAATCTTTCAAGCAAAGAGAAGTAGGAGATATAAAATGACATGACAGGACATAGATCAACCATTAGAATTTGAAGAATGAAAGAGAAAGAGAAACATACAGATGAAAAGATAAAAGTCCAAGAAAGTCATATTAGGTCGAGTAAAAAACACTACTACACCATAAGTTTTACAAGAAAAAGGGCACATACCAAGATTTATAAGCAAAAAAAGACCACAATTTTGCACAGGATTCTATTATTGTAACGGCTTCAGAAATTTAAATGAAATATATGTGTTAAAAATGTCAAATGCGGAAGCGTAATAAAAATTTTGATTAACATCCCTTACACAATAGCTAAAACGTACTCAAAACATGAAAGAACAAACTAACTAAAAGAGATACTCGAGATAAGAACTATAAATATAGCTATGGAGTCTTTAAGCATCCCCTTTGCCGTCTTCCTGCGGAACGAGCTCAAGAACAATGTCTTCCTGATCTGAAATTGTTAAATAAGGAATGAGCTACACCAACCCAGTAAAGACATCACATTATCTCACCGCCACAGAAGTAAAGGCGGGTAGAAAATAAAAATGACCAATTGAGCATAATTTATAACAAATTTATTTATCAATAATAAAATCCTTTACTGTCCACTTACCTCGGCGAGATCCATGAAAACAACATATGAAAACAATAACTTTATAATATCATGAAATCATACACACTTTATAACATAACATATATCACACCTTTATATTTCAATCATCAGGAAACAGATTTCCTCTTTTACCAGCACGAATAGCAGCACGATTACAACAGCTCGAGTTTTAGAAAATGAACACATCATTTGTAAACAGAATTACAAACAAAACTATTCCCTGTCTAAGCAGCCTGAATGCAAATGTTCATGGTGTAAAACCCTGCAAAAATGGGACATAAAAGATAAATTGAAAGAAAAAGTCTGATCTGATGGATAGGACAAGAACCCAATAAAAGATAAATTAAAAGAAAAAGTCTGATGGATAGGACAAGAACCCAATAACAAAAACCAAAGAGTACGAAAAACATATGAAAGTATCTCGAGACTAACTCCAGGAAGATTCCAACTTAGCAATATTTTCAGGATTTGTCACTTCAAATATGGTCATCACATCAAAAAACCATATACAAAACACATTGATAATGATCTAACAGGGTAACCCCCAGCAACTAGTTCACCACAACAACATGTCAGCTCAAAAAGTTCAATACACTTGACCATAGCTAATACCAGAACTAAAAAGGGATGCTCAGTAAATTCTTCGATAAAGCTACAAGAAATTTGTTTTGGGAAAACCTGTAAATAAAACACTAATTGTAAGATCTTGAAGATTTCACTCCCCTTCTCTAACCTAATTCTCAAGCTCGGAGTTGATCTAAATATCAGGCTACCTGATCTCCATAGAGCAGAATTGTGTGATCAAAGAAACTTAAGACTGCTTCAAGTGAGTATTCCAGGCAAATTCTCAATGAGATTTACGCAAGAGAAGTTATAATATAGTCCTCATCCTGAGCCACAGATCCGCAATTATAAGTAACCAACATTAAAATATAAGTAAAACTAACATGGAAAAACAAATATCTAGAACATCTTGTAGTAAATATTGCTTATCGAATCATTTATCTTGCAGCTGAGACCCTTTCCCAAGAAGCTGCAGTATCATGCTGCTCTGTATTTCTAGCATCTAGTACATATTTTTGCCACACAAATGAGGAAAACTCTAGTATTTTCATTTATTTAATGTTAATGAAAGATGTATACCTAACCACAAAGCTGCCACATCTAATTCTTGCAAGACGGCATTAAACTTTGCCCCCACTCAAGAGGTTTATAAAGCTTAGTTGAACAACTGCATTCAAAGGTTCACAAAAATGATATGCATGAAAAAATATGCGTAAAAGCAACAGCTTGTGCCTTTAACTGTAATCTTCCTCTAGCAAGCCTTGCTTGAGGTAACTAATCTATGATTCATGAAAACAACTGTGATTCCTGAACCTACGAAAAATGTGATTTCAGAAAATTCAACATTTCTTATTCCTTCAATCAATTACATGAATTCATTTTCTCTTCCTTCCGTCAGTTATATGAATTTTTAAACCTCAATGTTGACTTTGTCTAGCATGACAATGTGAGAATGCCCTGCTGCTTTGATCATAAGTTTGAAATACAACATAATACATTTGTTAAATCGCAACAAATCAGCAAACCTCAGTCCAGCTTGTATCCCAACAAGTTGTTTAACTATTAAAACTTCCATTGCAAAATGCAATCTTAGAATTAAACCCAAGTATTTTTATTTCTAACACTAAGAACATATAGCAAACTAGCTTTAAGGGACAATAGAGATAAATATTCTAAACATGGAAAATGACACCTCATGTGATGCAAAACAAGTAGCGACGGTACCAACTTGTTTCAACCATCAGTTAGAAATAGAAGAAGTGAGAAATGGAAGAATAAAACTGGGAACAAGAAAACTGGGGACAAAAGTGAAGAAATGTAAGGAGAAGTAGACTGAACAATGATAAGAGCAGAACAAAAAAATAATGAGAAATAAACCCTAACAAAAGGAACTCTGAATTCGTCATCATTTATTCTCTATATTCATAGTTATTGGATTTTATATAGGCATTACTTACAACTGCTAAGGAAAATATTAAAATAACTAAAGAGGAATTAGAAGCTTCTATAACTTAAAATCTACCCTAAGTCTCTTATAATTTAAACTCTACTTAAATAGGTTAAATAAATTAAAGAAACTAAATAATAATTACATTGATTTTTCTTAATACTAAAACTATTTCAATTCAGGATTCTCTTGGTCTGCATTATCACAACTAACTAAATCCAAGCCCCTGAACCTTCAATAGATGAAAAGAGGTTACAAAAGAACTCAAGAGGTTTGAAAAAACAAACTTTGGCTGTTTACGAATCCTTTCAAGGGAAGTAGATCTTCCAAGCAAAGAAGAGCAAGTCGGAGACATAAAATGACATGACGGGACATAGACCAACCATTAGAATTTGAAGAGAAAAGAGAGAGAAAAACTTACAGACCGAAAGATAAAAGTCCCAGAAAGTCATATCAGGGAGAGTAGAACACTACCCAGAAGTTTTACAAGAAAAAGGGCAGATAACAAGATTTATAAGCACAAAGAGACCACAATTTTGCATAGGATTCTATTACCCTATTCCTTTTCCAACAGTTAGTGGAGCAGATATTTTGGTCTGATACATGCTCATCATCAGGTAAGATTCTTTTGTCAATATTCAATCTGCAGCCATACTGGGAATCCTCATCAGAAACGCAACTCAAAAATGAATTAGTATGAAGGTTAACATTTAAACAGTATGTATACATACAAATTTCAAGAATCCTCAAAGGGTCCAAAATGGCTTGAAGATATGGGCTTGAAGCGGCAATGGGGATAATTGCTACAATATGTACTTAGGTGCTATCCCCATGGCTATTATGAGTGATTCAGAAAGGAAAAAAAAAATAGAAGAGCTTTGAGGATATAAAATTGTCTTATGGTAGAATTAAGGATACTTGACTCCAAACCTTAAGCTTTTTTATTAGGGATCCTCCTATTTAGACTAGGGAGAAGGACGTGATTGATATTTTGACAGATTTGTAAATGTTTTTGTTCATAGGTTGCATCCACTTGGTATTATTTAATACTACACTTAATATTGAAAAAAAAAAAGCATCCAGAATGGCATTTTAGCAAAGACTGACTATCTCGATTCCTTTCAAATAAACAAAAGTTCTTTATCTAAGCTTCAGGAATCCAGAACAATAAAGTTTTTGAGATTGGCCCATCAGGTGCTACTGGGCCTGGAAAACACTGACTCATTATCCTTACACTGAAGAGAGCGGGAGGTCTTAATTGCTCTGTCTCCAGCTCACACAGTCCCCTCCACTCTCAGAGGATCGAGCCCCAAGCTCACACTCAAGACTCAAAGCTCAACTCTCCTCTTGGAATAGGCAGGCCAGTATCTAACTCTCCACAGCCCAACCATCAGAACCAACTCAATTTCCAATCATTTTAAAACCCCCACTTGGGTGACAAGCCCACATTACTGGGCTCGGCTCCAGAACAATAAAGTTTGTATTCTATTCATCAGATTTAGCATCATTAGCTGTGAAGAAAAATCCAATATCAAACTACTCATCAGCTTTCAGTAAGTCTCCATGTTTAGACGACAAGAAGCAGAATAAAAGTTATCAATGACCTCAATTACCTCATTTCAACTAGTTTCAAAACATTTAGGCTTCATTCATGCAGGACTTTCAGGTTCTTTTTCCAGAAGAAAATCCTGTTTCTAACATTTTATTATTTGGTGATCCATTTTGTTTCGTTCCAAACTTTTCAATCAGCAAATGCTGCTTTACCACCATAAATATCACAAGAGCTTTAAAAATGTTTTTTTTCTGGAGATTTCTCTTTTAATTGCCGACAATATTTTCAATATTGTAGAGGCTAATATACATTTCTTTTTGAAAGATATAGAGGCTAATATACATCGCAGACAATTACCCATCATAATAAAGAATACAAGGTAGAAATTGTTTTAAAATTTTCTTTGTAAAGATGTGCATATCATACAAGACTTATGCAGCTGTGAAGGAAATAAAACTACTTGAAACCTTAAGGTAGTGAACTGTATAAAAGTAAACCAGTCTTTTATTTTGAAGTAGGCCAAATCCAAAGGATCAAACAGTAATTCTCATGCACCTCTCACAAACCCTTAAAATACCTTATCCCTTCCATATAAATCTAAATGAGTTATGTTGTCTGTACGCTAAGACCAGAAGACTCTTGTCATTAAAAAACTCAATTTCTTGCAGGAACTTTTTCCTAAGAAAGAGTAAATTAGCACAATACAATCAAGTTTTTTCTTTTCCTCCAATCCACTACAATTATATTATATTCTTGAAACACATAAGGTATAACATAACATTTAACGGAAGGCATATTACCTAATGTTATTTTTGCTTCAGATAACAGCAAGTTCTACTCAACTAAAAGCAACTTTCTTAGCAAAAACATTCTTCGCACACCCAATTCAAGTTTTAATTTATTATCTAAAGACATTGCGAGTTGCATCGCCAAAATGCAAACAGCCATCAACACAACACAGATCGAACCAAACATATGAACACTGAACTGAAATTAATTAACAATCTAAGAATCCAATTGTACAGACTCGTGAATCTAGCCAAAAATAGAAATTACCCCATGCTGATTATGATGAGGGAATCATCCCAGTGCTCCTGGCGTAGGCGAAGATTCCTCCCGCCTCAATGACGGGGCCAGCATCCCCAATTGGTTTTAATTTGTATTCCTTGCCCGTGGAATGATTGATCAATTTGTTTTGCCCCAACTCAATTGTCACCACGTCACCAGTCCGGCACTCCTCACAAATCCTCACCTCCGATTCCAGAGGGTACACTTCCCCAGTGGCGACGGAATTCCTGAAGAAGATCCTCGCATAGGATTCCGCCACCACGGCCTGCGCGCCAGCTGCGCCCAGCGCCACGGGGGCGTGCTCGCGGGAAGATCCACACCCGAAGTTGTCGCCACCGATGACAATGGAGTATTTGGTCTTGGTCTCGCCTGGCTCCACGAAGCGTGTGGTGTACGACGCCGGGAGCCCCACGAAAGCGTAGGACCCGAGCTTCTGGTACTCAGCCGGATTCGAGGGCACCAGCGTCAGGTACTCCGCCGGGATGATCTGGTCGGTGTCAATGTTGTCGCCCACCACGTAGCAGAGCCCGTGGAAGTTCTTCTCCGTCGCAGACGCCGATGAAGCGGGAGAGGAGGCGGCAGCATGTAGAACTACAGCTGCGGCGCGTTTAGCAGATAGAGGTGTGAAGGTCGAAGGACCGGAATGAGGGAGCTTGAGGGAGTGAGAGCGAGAAGAGACATGAGAGGTAAAGGAGGAGGACTTGAGGGCGGAAGAGGGGGAAGCAAATGTAGGGTTTCGAGAGAGAGAAAACTGAGTGGCCGACATTTGTGTTATGGTGCAAATGAACTCGACGACTCGACGGCTATGTTTATTGGCTATGCTTTGACGAGCACTAGAAGTGGAAAACTTTTTTCTTTTTTTCCCCGGTAGGCTACACTGTTTTATTTATTTTGGGTCAAAAAAAAGTATTTTCCAAATAACTTTTATTTTTTAGTCTATAATTGTTAGCACTTTTTTTTTAACTGATTAAGAAATTTACCTATAATTTAACCACGTTTCTTATTTTAAAAAGATGTTCATTTTTTGATAACAGAATTAAATCAACCCGACAATTGAAAAATTATAAAAGACGGATTAAAAATACAATTGAAATGAACTATTTTCTTTTCAAAATCTTATTTTGATTAAAAAATCAATATATAATTCTGTATATTCTAATTAATACATCAAATTTATAATTGATTAATAAATAAATAATATTCATTCAAAATTTAATATGAGACAACGAATATTTTTTAATTTTATTTTCATATTTTTGGGTCGCCTAATTTAAATTCCAGTTCAAAATAACATTTGAACACTCCTACTACTAGATCTAATAATTAATTTCACGTCATAAAAATACAATAAATAAAAATTAATGACGTTTTGCTAGGTCACACAAACAACAACATTAATTGAACAACTTTTTACGTAATCCATTTTATCAATCGGCTAAATTTGTTCTGATCTCTTTTTTTTTTTTTATTCGGCTTGTCCTCAAACTCAAAATCCATAAAGCCATTCAACCCGGTCCGTTCTCTGACCCTCTGAACAGCATCATTTAGTATATACAAAAAATATTGGATTAAGGCATAGTTTAAAAATAAAACTAGAAACTAAATCACATGATATTAAATTGATGTTAAGGTTTAATTTCCCCACTAATCAAAGCAGAGCAAAATCAAATATAGAAGCAGACAATTATGAACTTTTACAAATGTTGATAAAAAAACTCGCGAATACAAAAGCTTCAATGTACTTATAAATATACTTGAAACGAAAGCATTTTGTCAATAGATCCAGAAATAGTACCACAACATCAGCCCTCCCCATCCCCAACCCACCAAAAACCCAAATCCTTTTATTCTCCGTTGGATTTAGTGTAGAGATCGCTCTGCAGCGGTACGCAGAGCTTTCGCAGACCACAATGTCGGGGTGCCCTGCTATTTTTTTTCTCTTTTCCTCTCTCTACCAGAAGCAGTTGCAGCAGATTTGAGGAATTCACAAGAACTTGGCGTCAGAAAATAAATTCGAGCCAGCTATCTGTGCTTGCCGTGACGTTCATACTCACGCTCGCGGTCTCTATCTCTAGCGCTCCTCAAATGTCGAGGCGACTCTACTTCCCACTCTGCAGCTGGCGGTGGTGATGGCTCGTACCTTGACGGCTTCCTCTTGAAATGCCTCTCATCATCACTTGAGTCATAATCGCCGGCACTACTCTTCTTTCCTCCTAGACTCGCACCCGTTGTAGACGCTGGCTTCCCATCATAATACCCATTCGACGCTGCTTTATTTTGATGACCAGAACCAGAAGCAACAGCTGCTTCAGAAGAAGAGAGCTTACGTTTCTTCCCGGTTGGTTCCTCCTCCGGAAAGCTTATGCGCGAGAACACACTCGCCTTATGCTTTTTATCAGCCGCCGCCGCCGCCGCCGCCGCTAAAGTTGCCACGGACGCCGACGCCGGGGTTGAGGAGGTCGGTTTATTTGCAGTTTCTGACGAGGGTTTAGAGGACGAATCAGAACGGTGGTGGTGCCTGTGACGATCTCTATCGAGGTCTCGCTCATGCTCGTGGCGGTCATAGTGGTCCAAACCACGATCCCGGTCGTGAGACCGTTCGCGTTCGTGGTGGTGGTCGGACTTTCGCTTGGATGGGCGTGGTGGCGGTTCAAGGTCCCGAGCAGGTCGTTCAGGGGATAACCTTTCGGGTCTGTGGCGGTGATGAGGGTGCTCTCCGCTCGACGACGGGGGATGCTGTTGTACTGGTTTCTGCAACAACAAAGAGGACGAATGGCAACCAGTATTAAATTTATACCCTTTTTCACCACCACGCGTTAAATAACATTTCTCATACTTATGGGTTTTTATTTTTTATTCAGCCAAAAAAGGAAAAAATCCAAACGTAAAAACACAACGGTTTGTTTTATGAACTCCTTTAAAAAAAAACAGCTAGAAAAGTCCATAATCGTGATCCCACTAAGCCCATTATCGTATTTTAGCAAGTCATTTCCCGGACCCTCACCTTCCCCACATTCTTAGCACAGGCAACACCAGCCTTTCACAAAAATGTGCGACCCTTTCCGTTAGACCAATGATTTAAAGATAAAGGGGTTATAACAAAATTCAAGTTTCTTTGAAACAAACTCGAGACACAAAAACCAACTAGATAGTTTTTTTTTTTGGCCCTTTCATGGCGGGCTCTTTTTCATTTTACACATCTGATTGATATTTTATTACGAAATCTTGACCATGCAAGAACGCTATTTGGCTGACATTAAATAATCTGTGCCGTTAACAGAAAAGATTGACTTCATCATGGTCGTGGACCATCAACAAGTCTTGGTGAACAATGGATGTTCCGTTCATTGGTTGCCTCCTAGAAATCCTTGCTTCTCCTACATCTTTGCTTCATTGAGAACTTTAGCCAAAACCCAAAAAAGAAAAAAAGAAGAGAGAAAAAAAAAAGAAAAAAAGAAACACGCACATGCCAAAACCATGCAATACTTTTTTGGTTGAAGGAAATACACGACCCAGAAAATATGGACGCAACACGAAGAGACCAACACCTCACCACTAACACATTGGTGAAATTTCATAATCCTTGAAAAAATATGATCCAAGTTCTCAATACTTCTCGAAAGGGCAATTGACATGCAACCAGATCAAACAATAAGTATGAAATTTCTAGACACCATAAAACTGGAAACAAATAAAAAAAAAAAAAAAAGAAACAAAAGTTAAAATATTATAACAGGGAAAATAATAGAAAAATGGACAAAATGGATATTTCAAGGGCAAGATAATATAAAATTGACAAAACAGTTAAATCCAAGAATATAAAAAAAAATGACAAATCAACAAATTTTAGGTGGTTTGGTCCTAATAACTGCGGCAGTAAAACAAATTTTTTATCCTTTTCTTCATGGAAAAAAGTAAAAGATTTTATGTTGCCAAATAGCTGTTCTCTTGCCAAGTTGGTTTTGCCCAGCCAAAATTTTGTACGAAACCACATCAGGTACCTGCTGGCATAGACAAACAAAGAGAGCAAAAGAAAATTTGGATAACCAAAAGTACTTACAGATTTCGATTTCATCAAGCCAACATCCACGCTACTGCTCACTTCTCTAGTATGTTCCCCATCCCTGGAGAACTCCCTGTCGTAGATTGAGAGCATAAGAAAAAAACAGTTCGAGTCATAGTCATACAGAACCAACGGTGTACCATGCGATCAGAGACTACGAAATCTACAATTGGCCACTTAGCCATGAACTGATTACTAACACCGTGTAACATGACAATACATCCTAAACAGTTAAAATCAACCCAAACATAAAAAAAAGGGCAGCATGCAGACGAGAAAGGTTTCTTATTAAACCATCATGTAGTCAAGAAAACAATTAATATAATTTGACACATAAAAATCCATGTTTCATCTCTGCGCCTTAACATTAGGCTTGTTTAAGGAACTTTATCAGTTTCCATTACCCGACCAATATTTTAACATATTCTGAAGCATCAACAAGGAGAAACTTTAATCACTGCAGATAAGTGTAGGAAAAGGAATATACAAAGAATGCAAAATCAGAAATGGTCTCAAGTAATGGAAACATTTATTCATTAGAAGATATCCTAGATGCATTTTTAATCAAGCAATCTGGGCAGGAAAAGGTAATATCAGCTACTTGTACGATAAAATTAGTATCACAAGAAATTTCCTTGTGAAACTATTACATAAAATATATAACAGAGCAAAGGACAGAAAGAACCCTGTTACCTTTCACCTCTTCTTTCATTTTCACGCTTCCTCCTCAAATCAGCTTTCCGGGCTTCAAATTCCTCTCTGCTCATAAGAGGAGGCCGGACTGGAACATTCATACCCATTCCAAAGTCGGCAAGATCCCTGCAGATAAAGAACATAGTGAACTCATTACATTAATAATTTGTTACTTAACATGCCACGCAGGATTATGAGCAATGCAAATTTAACCACCAAATCCTGATACCTCTCCACCCGTCAGTCTCAAAGAGGAGAGAGATAGAGAGAGAGAGAGTGAGAGAAAGAAAAAGAGTGAATGTAATTTGTGAAACAGAGAGATTTACCTATAAGGTGGCACTGGCACATTGGGAAACATAAAACCCTGTGCACCAAAAGGATCTGGAGGCATCATAGCTCCAAATGGCATGTCAACGGGCCCTAGCCCGTAATTCATATAGGACATTGGACCAGCATAAGGGCCCATAAATCCATCCATCCCAGGTTGCATGCCAGTCCAGTATGGATTAAAGGGAGAGGGGCCCATAGGCATCATATAGTTTTCTGGTAGCTGATCTTGGGGGCGGCCTTTCCACTGCAAATCTACACGGCATCAAAAAGAAGAAAGATAAATATCAAAGTTGGAGACAGATTAACTTCATGATCCACAACATACTCCAAAATACCTCCAGGCATGCCATTTGCAGGCAAGCGAGCCTTTTTCTTTTTCTTCTTCTTTCCTAGCAAAGAAAAATCAATGTGAGACAGGACCAAAAACTCTTAACAAATGAAATACAGAAACCAAAATTTTGTTTCTTCATTTCACATCACAGGAAACTAAAAAAAATAATATTATATGATAGGATCATCTAAGTGACCCTAATACCAGATTATATAAAATTTGACGACTGAATCGCATGGAAGATCAAAGAAAAAAAAAATAAGATTGCAAAAGCAGTATATAATTGTTGTCCAGCCTGCAACAAATTATAAAAACAATTATTACCTGGCTCACAAGCACCTAACTTCTGCTGTACTTCTTCTTCAACCACTGGAGCACTGCCTTGTGAAGCTGCCTCCTTCACACTCATCGACTCATGTGTGGCTTCAGAAGCATCAACGGTCTTTGCAGTTTGGACTTTCTCTGTGGTACATTGCAAGGCACTGACAGCCTTTCCCTCTTCTACCACCTCTTGCAAATTTGAAGTTTCTGGAATAGCAGTATTGGGCCTTTGTTTTTCTCCTTTTGATGCAGCAGAAGTAGTAGGAGACGGATTCCTAGGCGGCGGACAACGTGCAGACTCCATATCTAACTTCCAAATACATCAAGTTATGACAATAGTTACATAAATAGATTAATAAACAACAAATTTTCATGTCAATGAATAACAAACCTTGAA